AAAAATTATTTAGATTAATTAAGGAGTGGACTAAATGCCATATATGTATATAAGTACACATAATTAAATATGTTCATAACTTTTTTAAGAAGATAACAATAATAAGCAATCCATACGAAAACATGAATATTTTAGATGTATCGATATACAATGTACAAACACTTAAATTTACTTTCGATTCCTCTAGTTTGGTGAACTTGACAACGATCGTATGGCGTTTTTAGAAGATAACTCTGCAGCCAATTCCGATGAGCTTACTTACTATTCAAACTCACAATTTGAAGTATTAAAGCATGAGGAAACGCTCAGTTCAGATGTACCTATTAACAAATTCTTTTATGATGAACCACAAGCAGAAAATTTACATGAAGAAAAATCAAAAAGAAATGACCATGAATTCGAAATTAGCACGAAAACTGTATCGGTTAAATCACAAGCTACACGTGGTCGAAGAAAAATATCTAATATTAAGAAGCCTTCACAAAAGAATAAATCAAGGTACGGGGGTGATTCTTCGAATGAGTGGGCGAAGAAAGCACCAAGTAATTATATATGCAGCTTTTGTGGCAATGTTTACACTGAGAAGGCAAAATTGACATTGCATCTAAGGATACACACCAAGGAGAAACCGCATGAATGCGAGTAAGTAGATTTGTAAGTATACAAACTAAAATAAATAAAATTAAAACTCTTCTCTTCAACATATACATATGTATCTGCGTACGAAAATATGTAGAATTTGTCATAAACGATTTTCGCAGACTCCACAGCTTACACGTCATATGAATTCGCATACAGGAAATCGACCTTTTAAATGCAAGTTTTGTGAAGCCAGCTTCGCCGATCCTTCTACGTGTATTAAACATCAACGGTGCGTTAAAATTAGATTCCATACATATTCTGAAGTCAACTTTTTTCTAATTTAATGTACTTACATACATATGTATAGCATTCATACACAGGAGCGTCCATACGTTTGCGACACTTGTGGAAAAGCCTTTTCTTATTCAAATGTACTGAAGGTCCACGTTATGTCACATACGGGGGAGAAACCATATAAGTATATCACTTTAAGTCATTCCATGGTGTTCTAGTTAATGATGATGATTTGTTTTTAGTTGTAAATATTGCGGTAAAAAATTCACCCAAGCACACCACAGAAGCACCCATGAGCGCATTCATACAACGTGAAAAAGAGGAGGTATTTTACCAGGATCCTTTAGTCAATTTAATTGTATTACTTCAGAAATTTTACACAGGAAATATAACAATTATGTTGATTACGATTTTAAAGCATAAACAGACGGCAGCGTTGATCCAGATCAGTGCTGCCGTCTGTTTAAGCTTTTATTTTGGACACCTACCGCTTTGTCCGTTGCAAATTCTTTTTTTTTTTGCATTCATAAGGAACTTACATGATTTTCAAAAGCGATTAGTTGAATCAAAAGTTGAGCTAAAGCAGGCAGCCGGCGAACTTCATTGGAAGCGATAAGTTGAACAGCCGCTTACATCAGGCGATTTTTGCTTTCAACTAAAAGTTGCGTGAAAAATCGCCTCATGTAAATTCCCTATTAGAGATTTTTGACGATGGAAATTCAGCGTAGCGGTTTCTAGAATACCACTCTCGTGAGCGTTAACTTTAGTTTTAGCCGGACATCCTGTATAAGGATCATACATTGTGCCCGGAAGTTAGTCCATTTTGGGCGAAAAAGTTATTACATTTGAAAGTGCTGCGATCAAGACAAATTTATACAAGGTGGTGTTGATGGCGAATTAAGATTTTCGCCGCGGTACTTCCCAGTGTCAAAATGATGTGTTTGTTGTAAACAAGGCGAATTCATATTACAACAAACACATCATTTTGACATTAAGAACTACCGCGTTGAAAATCTAAATTAGCCAACAACACCACCTTGTATAAATTCGCCTTGGTGGTGTTACTGGCGAATTTACATTTTCGCCGCGGTACTTCCTAATGTCAAAATGATGTGTTTGTTGTAATATGATTTCGCCCTCTTTATAACAAACACGTAATTTTGACATTAGGAAGTACCGCGGCGAAAATCTAAATTCGCCAGTAACACCACCTTGTATAAATTCGCCTTGATCGCAGCACTTTCAAATGTCAAGATGATGTGTTTGTTGTAATATGATTTCGCCCTCATTACAACAAACATCATTTTGACATTAGGAAGTACCGCGGCGAAAATCTAAATTCGCCAGTAACACCACCTGGTATAAATTCGCCTTGGCTGCGATTTTTAGAATATGTACCATAGATAACACTGTACTCCAGGCGAATTTATACAAGGTGGTGTAAAATCAGCTGATTTCTTCTCCTTACATGTATTTTGTTTTTGCTTTTACTGATTTGACAGCACACCCATCAAAAGCAAAAGCAAAATACATGTAAATTTTGGAGCGAATTGAGATTTGACATAACACCCTCCATACAAAATACGTGTGGCTGTCGTTGTTGTAATCTAAATTCGCCAGTAACACCACCTTTTTTAAGTATTGGGCACTGTCATATACCATGTTCTGACCGACACCGAAAACATGTTTTCGTTGCCAAAACTAGTTTTCGACCTAAAACATGTGTTATCGTCCATGTAAAATCTGTCAAACGAAAACCAGTTTTCGCTGAAAACTACTTGAAAACTCACGTTCCAATCGGTGTCTTCACTAGTTTTTTTCGATTATTTATCGAAGTGGAAGTCATATTTTATCATCTTTAATACGCTATTTCGTATTTATTGTTAATTGGCTGGCCAAAGTAAAATAAGAATGAAAGTAAGAAGCTGTAAATGCAAAGAAAATGAAGGAAAAGGATTTTGGTTTTGTTTTTGTGTAGCCAAACTGTAATCAAAAGATGTAAGAAATGTCAACGAAAACACTAACAGCCGGTGTGAACAGCCTTCAGCCCACAATCCCAAAACTCGTTTTCAAAGTGTTTTCGTTGTCGGTCAGAACATAGTATCAGTTGTCAACTCTACGATGACGTCACGGCAATATTACACTCACGAATTCTGCTGCAATCGGCGCAATCTTGTATTCTATCATTCTTGGGTACATAGAAAATGATTTGGTTTTGATTTTGGTACTTTTTCTCATGATAAAAACATAAGCTTTGTTTCGGGCTTCTCCGGTAATTAGAGCGTAAAAATAAGGCACCCTATCACATGTGTCAAAAATGTGTCAACACGTGCCAGAAGTGCCCAGAGCGCGAGGAACCCAAAAAACCAAATTAAACTCTAAACAATGATTTTACGTATATTTACCTTATATGGCTAATAATATATCAAATAACTACATTTTCTGAGAATTACGTGGTATTTTCCTCTTTTTTGTTTTATAAAATTCGTTTTCGGGTTTTAACAACAACACCTGTTATTTCAAATTGCCCTTTTGCACATTTGTGCCCCGAAAAAAAGGCCGGGTTGTTTCGTGCGTAAAGAAGAAGACATTTACGACCCAAAAGTGGAACGTGTTCGCTCTCTATTAGCCATTTTTCTAGCGTGAGGTACTGAGAGCTGTTTTGGGCACCCGCGGGCTCGTGTGGAACAAACCTATAGTAAGGTAGAACCGTTCTCTCAATTCGTCGGCCATTATTTTTGTTTGCAGTTTGTAAGCATTTTAAAAGCATCTAAAACTGAAAAGGAACGAAATTCGTGAGAATGGTATCACTAGTACCACTACTGGTATTTCGAGTTATTTTATATTGATTTAGAATTATTAAACCAAAACATAACAACAAAGAAAAACCAAAGGCAGCACAAACTACGAATGCGTCGGAATTGCTGATAGCATTTCACTCGAATT